CGCCGACGATGTCGGTTCAAGTCCCGCCCGCGTCCTAAATTTTTTCACTCTACTATCTAAGTCCTAGTTGTTTTAGAAAAAAGACACACACTGTCTGTAGTTTACGCGAGTAGTACACATTTAAATAAAACACTTTAACGGTTCAAAACGCGATATATTTTAGTTCAACTTGTTTCTCGCCGTAGTCTTTAAGCATCCGAAATGTCGGGCCGTAGTTACAAATAACTTTCAAACAAGTTTAACTAAAGTATATCGCGTTTTAAACCCTTAAAGTGTTTTGTTTAGAAAGACACATGCCGAGTCCGGAATCGAACCGGCTATTGCCCCAACGAGTCAATCAATAACACGAATGTTTTTAATCTTATTTATTCTAGCCTTCTACGGGCTTAGTGCTAAATATTCCACTTCATTGTTCACTTTTTATATCAAAAACCTTGAATTGAGGTAGACATTTAAATAATAATTAAAACTATTTTAGAATTTGTTTACCTTACGTCTAACTATCTAGGTCATTTAGTGTCACTGTACTAGTGACGTAAAAATATACAGCAGTGTTAAAAAGGACATTTTTAACGGTTCGAAACGTGATAGAAATGTAAAATCAATTCTAATTGAAATTTGATTAATAATAACATACTAATTGACACAAACATTAATATTTGTTCGCATGTTATTGCACATGAAGGCACTAATAACTTTACAAAGAGATCGATAAATAAAAAAACGGACACAGAAAATGTGTTCGCCCCCTGCCCCGCGAGGGGGGACGATTTCACATAGAATCGGTATGGTCTGTACATTGATTAAAACACAATTAACTGTTTAAAACGCGAAGTATATTACTAAATGTTACGATTCCACCGCTCTATCCATAATCGTAAATAGTTTAGTCATGTGACTATATGTTCTTTTCATTAATTAAAACACAATTAACGGTTTAAAACGCGAAGTATATTACTAAATATTACGATTCCACTGTTCTATCTATAATCTTATGTAAATAGTTTAGTCATGTAGTCATAATATTGTCTATTTATTAATTTAAACACAAATAACGGTTTAAAACGCGAAGTATACGAGTTAATAAATATTACATTTTGATTCGACGTTCATTTACAGTAACTGTTGTCATAGAACTGTTACATTCCACGGCGATTGATGTATTAATCAAAGACAATAGTTCGCGTTTAAAACCGTTAAAAGTGTTTTGATGTGCACCAGTTGCGCTAAGTAAACATACAAGAATCTTAAATTAGAACGACCAGACGGCAGTTGTATTTTATTATATATATAAAAGTCGAAAACATACGAACGCCAAATCTATAGATATACTAATATTACAAAACTGAAGAGTTTGTTTGTTTAAACGCGCTAATCTCATAAACTACTGGTTCGAATTAAAAATTGTGTTTGTGTTGATTAGAGCATTTATCGTGGAAGGCTAAAACATCGCGCTGTGACTAATAACAGCGAAGAAACAGCGGGAAATGCTTCAAAATGAGTCTTGCGAACGATAAAATGTTTGTCAGTTTATTTATAAATGGGACATAAGACAGACACATATTTGTGTCCATTTATCAACTGTAACCTTAGCACATCACTAAAAAAATTAACCAACAAAAATCATCCATAGACGACGTTTTGCAAAGACAAATGTCCTTCCAAAGATCTTATAACGGGACAAAACGATTTGTTTTTTTAACATTATTCGGCTAATAACCTAAGTCACCGACCGGTATGCTAAGTAGTCGCGAATGTATATACATAAAGAATTTGTATGTTTCATTCGATATGAATACGTTTGTGAATAATCTTCGAAACGGCTGGATCGATGTTTAGGAAATTCTGCGATAGTAACATTGACGTCTTTAAAAATTTTTGTATGTCGTGGTTCTTTAAGGGATTGGGGGGGGGTTTGATAACACTGTCATCTGCGAGCGTACAATTGAAATATGTGGTTACGTCACAAGGTTATAATTTGTTGGTAATAGTAACACCAATAACTTTGATTTTTATTGAATATCGTTGATTCTAACAACGCGTGTTTTATTATCCCGTGGCACTCCGCCTCATGGAAACGCGCGGCAACGATGGAAACAAATGACACAGCCGGTATTAAACTCTTGTATTTGGATCGTCAATAAGTTCGCGCCAGACATTCGAGGTGATCGAACCTGCGTCTGCGATCTATGTTAATATAACGTGTCTATAGAAAATGTAAGCGTTATTTATACCCTGTCGAACTTAGGATGATAAGCCTAACAAGTAACTAAAAAAAAACAATAAATTAATATAGCACGAAAATAACTAATAGAGATGCGCCGAGTAACGAGTAACGAGTTTTACTCGGTTCAAAGTATTTTTTAACCGAGTACTCGGCTGATGAACTCGATTCAATCAAATCCCCATTTTGCGCGCGTAAACAAGTACAAACAGGTTCGCGCCGGTCAAGACGTCGGCTCGCTCATCTTCTCGTAGTTTTGTCTGTTTACTACTCATTCCTTGGTATAGTTTTGATTTTATTAATTGGACTTTTTCAGAGATCACCGAAATTACTAATAAATACTTTTGGATTAACACTGTTGTTATAATTATATCTACCTCAATATATTGTTTTTCTTTAATCAAGTGTACTCGTTAGCAAATAACCGAGTTATTCGGCCGAGTACGAGTATCAAAAAACTTGCCGAGTACGCCGAGTACCGAGTATCAACCGAGTACTCTGCCCATCTCTAATAACTAAATAAAGTATATTTGAATATGAGAAATACCTCAGCCATATTACTTCTCAAGATGTACTGTCGACTTATTTTGACTTAGGATATTAGGAAATCCACAGATAGAATTAACTTATTAAACGTCACGGCTTTCTCATCTGTGCATAGTGGTTCGTTAAGATGAAATTTCGATATTCCTACCACCCATTCAATTTCCAGATTTCCAGACGAAGGCCATGTTTCAAAAAAATGTAAACAAGTTGGATCCGATGGGAATCGAGCCCACGTACGTTAGACCAATTTATTTATCGGACACTCGGTGTTAATTACTGAATTTATCATCATATATTAGACGAACTATACGTAGATTTTATCCACTGACAAAGAAATCTTTGAAATTTCAAATGACTAACCAATTTAAAAATATGTTATAGTTCATTTGAGTTCAAGTGAATCATTAAACCTTGGTATTTATTTAAATAAAGCACTTTAACGGTTTAAAACGCGATATATATAAGTTAAACTTATATGAAAATTATATTCAACTTCGGCCGGACGTTTCGGATGCGGAAGCGTTTTAAACCAAAACTGTCTCGCGTAAACTATTGACAGCATTTAGATTATGAGATTGTTTTTTTTTTACATTTCAAAGTTCTATACTTAATGCATAACCTTCCTCGATAAATGCTCTAACAAACACAAAAAGAATTATTCAATTCGAACCGGTAGTTCCTGAGATTTGCGCGTTCAAATAAACAAACTCATCAGCTTTGTATATTAGTATAGATATACCTAATATCGAGAAGTATAGTTCAAGATGTATGACTAAGCTCGTCGAATAAATTATACGAGACCACATGTTTGCAAGTTCATCGTCCTTTAATTTATAAAACGACATTGTCTCAGTGGAGATACAAACATTCCAATAAATAATGGAAATTGGTTTATAACGAAACGGTAATAGCAATTAATCTTCGACGCATTAAAACCGGTTGAACCGGAAAAAAAAACGGTTTTAAACTAATCGAAATAGTAATTAAACATTTACGAAAAACCTGCAGTATTCTTGTGTTTGTTAACAGTACAACGTGCTATGCTCTAGTCGGCTAGCGCGTGAAACTACCCGCATTTCTTTTTTGTTTTAGTAATTTTTAACTTTCAAAGAAATAGCCTTCAGATGTCTTCGACTGAGGGACCTCCAAGTAACACATAACAATAAATTGGACAAAAAAATTCAAGGTGTTGCCACTTCTATGCAGTTGTTAAACATTTCATTGGAGATATTATTTCTCAGTGGTTTTAAAATAACTAATAAAAATAAATATTTGCTGAATTTAACAACTGCTGGACGTGGAATCCAAAATTATATATTTATAAGCGCGCGAGTCTCTCGGATTCGGCACAAAAACGATAATTTATTTAACAAAAAATAACGGTTAATAACGGCCATTAATTATAATTTAAATTATTTGAATCTGAGAGACTCCGTCGTTCGCTGTGATACGGTTGCGCTAGAGTTGTGAAGGTGACCATTCACCGGTGAAGCGTGGAACGGAAAAGCCGCGTTATATAATCTCCATTCCGGATATTAATGGTTGAGAAGTGATTCAACTTCCCAACTCTAGTTGCTAAGTGCACAAGTGGAACGTAGCGTGGTCTGTTAATTACATTAGCAATGCGACAACAGCCAAGTTAATAGTTACGAAACGATAACGAATTTCGAAATATATTTTCGCTAAATTTTCATTAGAATTTTATCTGGAATTATAGAGAGTTTCAGAGAACTCGGTCTGGCTTTTAACAACTACCCTCACTAAATTTGTGTTTAACTTAACGCGCTGTCAGAGGTAAGTGATAACAGCTTTTACGAAAAATAAAAAAGTCCAACCGATCCAGCGAAAGTAATAATTATCATCTATAGTTTATGCGAGTAGTACCCATTTAAATACACGTTTAACGGTTTAGAACGCGAAATATATATAATACCATTCATTTAAATACGACCCAACGTTTTGTTACACCACTGAAGCAGTCGAATTAATTGTTATCATTTGTAATTTACGCGAGTTGCACACGTTTAACAGTTTAAAACGTGAAATATTTATGTAACTACGACCCGACGTTTCGTACTAGTTAACTTGGCTGTGTCCTCTGTACAGAAGTAAACAGACGTCACACAATGTACGCTGTCAGTGTAAAGGTTATCATGCTTTGCGAAGATCAGCTGTTCCTACGTGGAAGTGGAGAAGCTGATAAACCTTGGCGGACATTGTATGGCGTCGTTCAACGATTAGTCACATCACACTGTCCAGGATGAAGTCTTGACTCACCATCACATGTTGCAGCCATGAACTTGCCGTTCGCAGAGAAGTCCACCATGAGTATATTCCCGGGATGACCTTTGAGGTTCTTGAGGAGCCAGGGGTGAGAAAACTCGGTCTTCTGTTTTCGCGTAGCTCGCTTCTTCGTTTTGCTGGGACGGTTGTCCGTTACGGCGTTCTCAGACGCTGCTGGGGCTGGTTCCACTGGAAAGGATGAAATGGTTAATTAGAAATAGTAGGTTATTTATTAGAGCTTTATTAATACAGCACATAACAGAAAGAAAATATAGAGGAGAAGAAATCTTGCGAATTTATAAATAAAAGGCGGCCTTATATATGGCCGCTAAGCAGCGATCTCTTCCAGGCAACCGCAACAGAAGAAAAGGCGGTATTTAGAATATAGATTAGCGCTTTGTGATCTTTGTTCCAAAGATCATGCGATACGATGGATGATGCTGGTGGCGAAATTTTGACCAAAATTGTTCGATATAAATATAGGCAACAAGTGCGTGCTGAACCCTTCGTTGGTTTAATTTCGACTCACGATTCTTCGGTTGTGTTTTATATTTAAGAGATATTAATTTATTTTTTATTAAAAAAGAATGGATAATAAATAGACGATAGACATATAAAAAACGTCACAAACCCAATAAAAAATCGTATATTGTAATCGCATTTCGGTTGTGTGGATTAAAAATGTCCAAAGCTAAAATAGGCCGACAGCACATCTTTTCAAGATGTTATATTATGGTATATCATCTACGAACCCTAGAATGCTTGTGTGTCCTCCTACATCATAAAAAAATATCACCTACCATCAAGTCCGACTACCTCTGTAGCTAAATTGTTAAACGTGTTGCCTAGTATTGCGTTGAGCGCGAAAGGTCCTGGGGAAACAGTAAATTGTTTCGGTCGGGCAGGGCACAGCAGTCTGATCAACTACTGGCCTGTAAATAAAACTGGTCAGTGTAACGGACACAGAAATATGTTCGCCCTACGCCCCACGAGGGGAAAGGGGATTCCACGGGGGGTGTCATGAAAAACTGAAAATTTCGGAACATCGCTGGATAATGAAAATCGGGCGTTGATTAAAAAATATTTACTATAAACTTATCAGCGATAACATGCATACTACATACCTACGTGATAAACATTCGTAGTAAAAAGGGTTTCTAAACAATTGTTATATAATAATGCGATAAGCATTTCCGTAGCGACGTATTTGCGATAAGATGTACGTAATTAAATATCGCGTTGGTGTAATCGTATTAACGGGTCGTGGGGTTCGAACCCCACCGTGTTCAAAATGTTAAACAATTGATAATTATTCCGAGATATGTTGACTTCTGCAAAAATTGGTTGTGGAAAAAGGGATCCGTTTCCTCGCGTGGAGCATGGAGCAAACACAATTCTATATCAGTTTTACAGGCAAGTATTTTTGATGCTAATCAAAACAATCTATTGTTTAAACGGGATTCGAATCTAGGACCTCTCGCGCTTAACACGTTTAACCATTTAGATAGGGTGGTCAAATGGAATATCGAAATTCCGTCCAAGTTCGCCACTCGAATTTTTTATTGCTTTTCTGTCTTACATTATACAATAAGGTTTATTTTATTTTATTTCAAGGGATCTTCGTGACCAATCACCTAAAGACAACACGTGCTATTAAAGTAACAAAGGCTTTGTTTTTGTCAATTATCTGTTACTAAGTCCGTTACGTGAGAACTGGGTTTGTAATTCTGAAAGATTACAATGCTTAAATAATCATTTAATTATATAATGGTCCTTGCTGAAATGTCACCGATAAAACCGGCCAAGAGCGAGTCGGTCGCCTACACAGGGTTCCGTACTTGGTTAAGAATTGTAAGTATACAAAAAGCGTTGTATGGGAGGATTATTATGCTAGAGATGGACGGACGCATAGGGTTCACTTCACGATATAATACTTCAGCCATACAACTTAGCATGATATGCTGTCGACCTATTTTTGCAACGGTATTCGGTAATCGACAGACTAAGACGGAAATAAGCTTCAAGGATTTTCATCTATGGACGTAGTTCGAGCCAGATGGAATTTTAATATTCTTTCCAAGCCAATTAATATCTAGATATCCAAACGTCCAATATGTTTTAGAAAATTTTGCGATAAGAAAAATGTTGCACTGTGGGGGTAAATCCCGTTGATTATAATACGCTATTTATTAGAAAATTAATTACAATGGTTTTTTTTATTGTATGTAACAACAAATTTGTATATATAATATCTAGATATCTAAATATATCAAATTGTATCAACTTTTGCGATCCTTGAGATTCATAAAAGTGACAGACAAACATACAGACAGATTGTCTAGATACCGCTTTTACCCTTCTGGTACCTCTTACAAGATTCAGGACATTATATTGAATAGAGCATTAAGTTTAATTAAGTAATTGTAATTTTAATAACGTTTAATAGGTATTTAACGTTGAACTTGACTATCTTTAGGCGTCAGAAGACATTAAATTAGCATAATTAAACGGAATAAGAATCACTCGACTCAAGGGAATTTATTGAAAAACCTTATCTACAGGAAATAGTGTAAAAAGTGGGTTCTCTCTGTGTCTATTTTATTGATCAATTTTATTTACAGACAAGTAGTTCAACAATTACAGACAAATTGATCAGATTTCTGTGCCTATCTATCATTACCCTGGAAACCAAAACCAATACATTTAACTATCAGCCTTCCAATTCTCTATTTAAACTTTTAAACGCAATATATATTAGTTAAGCTTAACTATTATATAATATGTATATTTGATATTTATTTTAATAGACATTTCGGATGCTCTGCAGCTGCCATGGCCACGAGGAGACTTTCAAATAAGTTTAACTCATACATATCGCGATTAATACCGTTAAAGTGTTTTATTTAAATGTCTACTACTCAGGTAAACTACAGACAGTATTTATTTAAATCCTAGTTCATGTTCATTCAAACTTAAATGACAATCATATATGTATACTCCATTAGTTGGCATTGTTATAATTGTACCTAAGTAAATGATATAGCAAATTTAAAACCATAATTTAATTACAATGATAAGAGAGGCCTACACTTGACTACATCTGCATGACATAACCAACCAGTTGAGAAGGTCATGGTATAACTTGTAAACAAGAGTCGCAGATAGTTAAAAATACTATTCAAGTTTAACATAAGGTTTTGTTATATGAAACTATTAAAATCTTTAACTGTTTAAATAGCAATATTTACTACAGCCAGACATTTCGGATGCTCTGCAGCTGCCGTGATCACAGGGGGTTTCATTAAAATGTGTACTAATCATGTAAATTACAGACAGTGTATGGAACTAAATAATAAGGATTATACACATTATAGGAAGGTATAAAACAACATGAATCATCACATGTATTCAGAAACCACATGGGGTTAGACCACACATGGCTATAAGATCTCCCACATGGCTATTGCTTTTATAAGCATTGCCTTATAAGCATGAAATTAAAGAAAACTTACAGATAACATAGATTTCGTATTCGCGTCTTTAATAAAGTTGTATTAGTTGGATTATTTTAATTATTTTTTGCGCAGTTAAAATCCAACTAGGAAGAGAATAAAAGCATCATGCAAAATACATTACGGTACATGATTAAGTAGGATTACTGTGTGACCTTGTTTGAATAAAAATAAACAGTTAGTGCCTTCAAAACTTCGATGTACGGTAAATTTACGCGGCATAACCACGTGTGGAGTGAAACGTCCTGCTATGTTTAGAGATATATTGAAAAACACCGGATTATATACAAAACGCAGGTAAAGGATGTAGAAATTTAATAAAAACAACTAAACCTACCAACATCCCCTTCAGTTTCACGCTCCTGAACATCGGTTTTCTTGTTGCCGAATATGTTGTAGACGTAATGTATGATAATGCATGATAGAACCGTCGACACTAATGCAAGGATTACGTTCATGTTGATACCGGCTTCGATTTCGCTCATTTTCACTTAGAAATTACGTTTTTTTCGCTAACGTGCGGCCTATATCGGTACTGAAACAATCACACGCTCTCGATCGCAATGAAAAACTGCCAAAATCAAAAATACTCAAACCTATGAAACGTGAAGCGGTCAAATAAGTACTGCTTTTGACATTTGACATACTGACTTGACAACGACATTCACACTGACAGATTGGTTACCACAGATAAACGAAAAATATATTTACTTGTATTGTAGTGTTATTGTAGTATATTAAGTATTTTGTCTGATATAGAATGCTTCGTTTGATAACCAAAAAAGAGGTTCTGCATGTTATAATGCGTAATGCATTATAACATTCATTTATATCGTACTATTCCACTGAGTTGCAGTCCATATCCATCCACTCTGGTGAGGACCTCGGCAAGTTAGAAAAGGCAGTCCATATTTTACATTTTTCGCTAAGTTAATTTTATTGTAGATGTGACTATTCTTCTTATGTTTAATTAGAAAAAAATTTAAACAGCTCTTTATAGGAAACGAAATACTTTTTGGTGTGATGTGTTAAACTAATCATTCAATATTGAACCAAGTATACAAGATATATTTGACATAACAATATCTCCTATTATTTTACATAATTATGATATTCCTCCAACCATTTTAACAATAATAATAACATCATGCCAGGCAGAAGCCGAAGGTAAATTATAAAGAATTTAATTTTAAACTGAGAAGTATTTATTTAGGTAATTATTTGTTTTTAAAGCTCGTGTAGTAGCTGCAGGCCACAAGAGAGTCGTGGGTAAGTATTTATTTTGATTACTTGCGCTAAAAGTGGTTGTCCTATTGAAAAATAATAGGCACACATTTTATTTTTAAGTAGACTAGAATTTCTTCTTACAAGTAAAATGTTACTCAAAATCGGTGAATTTCAATATTTTTATAAATCGATTTTCATTTACTTATGGAATATGCGTTCTTTTAAATTGTGTAGTAAATATTTTTATAATGTGCAATGAATCGTTTATCTGCGCATGACTGTCGAATACGATTGTACCGCTATATAAAAATTTATTGTGTCGAAACTTTTTACAATTCAATTAAGAATTATTTTAAATAAATAATTGCAGACTTAAAAGTACTAAGTAAATCGACTTGATGTATTTACAACATCAAGTCGATTTACTTTTAACAATATTACTTGACACGCTCTGGATTTTAAAACTACATCTGTTTGCTTCTCTTACGACCTACTGGTATTAAAGAAAATATTGTTTTCTCTTTTTACTATATGGTAAGAGACAAAGATAAAAAAATATTCTAGAAAAAGTAAAGTGAAGTTTATGAATGTCACGGCATCTTGACAATTGACATTGTATTAAAAAAAGAAAACCACAAAACAGCAGTCATTATTTTGCGAGTACGACCGTGTTATAGTCAAAAGTGAAAAAAACCTCAAAGCGATAAAAGTTTTGCAAAATGCCTCGACGAGGACGCTCCGCTAGTCCACCACCAGCGCCCCAGAGACGGTAAATATCTTTACGTTTGCTATGTGAGTTAATTTCCCACGAAACATTATAACCTATATGAATTGGGTTCTTAGGGCTGCTCCTCCACCAAGCCGTTTGCCAGCCCATGCTCCGCCATCTACTCCAGCCACTAGCGTTGCCCAGCCGCAGCAGCCATCTCTCTTCGGACAGATGGCCGCCACAGCCGGAGGTGTCGCCGTAGGTTCTGCTGTGGTAAGTCCAAATTACGTAATTTCAAGAAATGTATTTTTCCTTCATAATAAAATTTAGTCATTTAGGATTCATTGCGCAATGTTTAACAATTATGTCCCAAAATCGGGAATCATTAAATGGCGTATAGCCAATAATGTCACGTGTTTAAATCTAATAGGAAGCAATGTCAAAGTAAACATGTTTTTCAAAGTTCAATAGATAAGTCATTATGACCAAACCAATGTTCCAAACAATGAAACTTTTGTGATGTGCAAGATTAGATAAAAGAAATAATTATATATATATAGCATAAGAGATCTTTTGTTATAGTGTTGTTATTTCCTTCATTACCTAGCAATTGTTGGATTTAAACGTTTTTGCATCATAAGCATTGGTTATTCTTCTACGTTTGAGCCATTTGCTACGGAGTTGTTTTTTAACCTTTGAACCTTACACTAACAATTTATTATAATTATTTAATTAACTATCACTATTTCTTAGATACATATTAGGAATTTCAATAACATTTAAGGCTGCTAAAAGCGGAGTGGCACCAATTTTAGATATTTTTGTATCAAAGTTCTATTTTGGTATTATCATTTTTGTTTCAGGGCCATGTAGCTGGCAGTGCACTAACTGGAATGTTTAGCGGTGGTAGCAGCGAACCAGCTCAACAGCAAGCTGCGCAGCCCGCTCAAGCCACCTACCAGCAATACCAGGGAAATCAACAACAGCAAGGACCGTGCGCTTGGGAGATCAAGCAATTCATAGAATGCGCTCAACAGCAGCACGACCTCTCCCTATGCGAGGGCTTTAATGAAGCCCTTCGCCAATGTAAAGTCAACAACCACATGTAAACGGATAGATCAGGTGTCTCCGAGCTTCTTATTTGCTAAACTTTATGGCTACCTCAGTCTCAGTTTCCACATCCAGAGACACCTCCCGGCAATTATTGTTGATAGAGTTCTTTAGACATTTATTTTATTATTATTTTAGACGCAAATCTTAGTAAGTATGATTCTACTTACATACTAGCTGTTTAGAGAACGGCCAAATCCATGTTAATTATTAGAACTGACATATTTTAAATAAACAAGCATTGAAATGCAATTGTGGTTTCATTTATAAATACATTATACAAGGGTTCCTGGAGTTTCTAAGTGTCGGCTTGTAGTGATAAACAAATAGTCATAGGCGGTTCCTATTTTGCGTCGTATGCAATGTCTCTTGGAATTTTTAAATAAAACAACGGTTTAGAACGCGAAATTTATTTTTAAAAATATCTAATTTACTATGGTCCGTCCTTTCGGATAATTTGTAGCAGCCAGCCGTGGTCACGGGAAACAGTCACTATAGACAATACTTAAAATCTCAAATGTTGATAGAGCGCGTTATAAGGCTGTAGACGCTAAAGCAGACCAAACCGCGCAAGACGAATTGCCAATATGTATAATATTAAAATATTCAGTTCTAGTGGCTCTCGCTCACGTTATTCCCGCTCCGACCAGCATGCGCCGGCGCATCCGCCTACCGTTGTGGTGACGCCGATGCCTCGTCGCTCCGTCTTCAGGGACGCTGCAGCCGTGGCCGGTGGTGTCACTGTGGGGACGACCATGGTATACAGATTAGTAGTCGTGAAAATATTTCTTTTAAGTTTACGATTACTGCCTACTTGGCTTAATTATTGAACGAGGACCTAAGTTTGAGTTTCGGGAAAGCCTCAAAAATCGTTCCGAATGGACACAGAAATTTGTCAACCCGTACCAATTTTTATTGAGCAATGCGACTGCGCAAGATTTTGACTCTCACATTTTTTGATGAAATAAAATAATAACCTTCTTTTCCTCCGTGAGGATTTTATTTATAGTCAGTTGGTTGATCAGCCTTTTGTGCCTGATCCGACCAATTAAATGTTTCCCTTCTTTTCGCGCTTAACATCATTTAGCTACAGCGGTCAAAATAAAAATAAAATATTCTAAGCCCTTCATGAGGTCTTAACACGCAGAAAAAGCGATTAATTCCTCATACATATGCAGGGTCATCTTGCGGGAGAGGCTATCAGCAGCATGTTCACGGGCCGACGGCGAGAAGAGGTGGTACACTCACTACCGCAGAACTACCAGCTTGGCACGGAACCGAGCGGACCTTGCGCCTACGAGATCGCCCAGTTCCTGCAGTGCGCTGCGAACCGCGAGAACCTGCAGGAGTGTGAGGCCTTCAACGAAGCCCTGAGGGAGTGCAAGCGGAGGAACCGTTAGTCTTCCTTCTTGGTCTAGTCTAACCACTGTCTGCGAGCTGATGATGCTGCAGAAGAGAGCGTGATTCTCATGACGGGGATCAAGGAGACGACACTATACGCTCCTCCAACCACACCCCCCTTAGCTTGTCTGTAATGGACATAGGTGCAGGGAGCTTTGAAGCCGTACAAACGTGTTCCCTCAAAGTTTTGTGGTTGTAGTCCACTTGTCTCCGAGGGGGTTGTAGTACGATTTACCACACTCTACGTCAGTATTGCCCGACGTGGGATTGCGTTAGGCAATTGACACCATTTAAAAAAAGGTCTACCCTCAGTGGCGAAACTATAGGGTGGCAAGTCGGCAAAATGCCACGGGCCCCCAGCCCGAAGGCGCCCCCGCTCAGAGGAAATCTCAATTGTTGGTTCAGCTTCTTTATATATTGGGGAAGTGGGAATTCGATGAATTTGCCACGGGCCTCAACGGTATAGCATACATTTTTTAATAACAGCAATTGTTGTATATATCCATACAACAAAGGTTAGAGTTTATTCCTTATCCATAGTACTAATTTGTTCCTATAATTACAAATTTGGATTTTGTATAGAACTTGGCATTATTATACTAATTAACCTTCTTTCAGGTTTACCATGAATCAAGGGTCCAGCAAAGCATCCAGAATAAAGACTGATTAATACAATACAATAAAATACTGATCTTCATAGATTTGTTTTATCTTCCTCCCGTGGTCTACGCGAGTAGTACGCCTTTAAATAAAACACTTCAACGGTTTAAAACGCAATATCTAATAGTTAAACTTATTAAATTATAAGATATAAAAAAAAAATATTTTAACTACGGCTTAACGATTCCGATGTTTAGCACTCCTACGCCATCTGTTCCATCGTATCGTAGTATTTGGCGAAACTTACTACTCACGTAAACTACATACATTTTTTTTAACGCAGACCAAGTAGGTCAACTGTCGACCCATAAAAATAAAACACACGTATAATTATGTATATTTTCCATTTAATATAAAAAGTTATAGATATACACTATATTTACAAGTAAATGGCAAAAAACATTCAAGATTCAACATATCAGTACAGGACACAAACAACTCCGTCTCTTCCAGCATTTGTGTGATCTACCAATTCGCATAACGTAATACTGTATGTAGGAAATAAATTCTGTGACACATCAACTAGGACTTGGCGGCCGTACAAGTATTATTTATAAACCCCTGCTCCATGTAAGGAAAGTAAACAGATCTTAGCCCCCCCCCCCCCCCCCCTATTTGACAGGCACGTAAACAAAGCTAATAGCCCTCCCCCTCCTCCATACGGGGAATAACAATGTGGCAGAAAGCATTAAAGGTTGAAAGGATACAGAGATAGTTGGACAACCCAATATCCTCCGGAAAGGTGGAGTGTGGAAATGTCTGAGATGGTTAGCGAAAAATATGGACAGTTCACCTGGCCTTCTATAAGTATCCCCCAATAGATATTATAGGATCCCCCTACAATTGTCAGCAAATTAAGCCTCTTACCCCCCTCACTTTTCAGGAAATTAAACAAAAGCTTTACCCCCTTCCCACTTGTTAACAAAATAGATCTATCTTTCATGCTTAGGTAATGAGGACGCAATCCCCTACCAAGATCAAAAAATAGGTAGTGTCCCCCCCCTCCCACTATATAATGCTTACGTAATACTTGAGCGGCCGTATCGAACTTTTAAAATAATAATGCAGTCGAATCTTACGGTGATCACACATTTGTCAACCCCTTTACGCGAATGCAGGAGGCTACCAAGAAATGATGCGCATGCGACGCTGACAAGTGCGCGATCACCTTAGACGCGTGCGACATCTGAAAAATAAAATTTCATACAAAAAACAACTTCGTGATCTCGGAAGCACTTGTACATTTTCGACATCAGCTGATTCAACTTAAGATATTTATGTACAATAAAATATTTCAAACAACTTCATAATCATTTGTGCAGTCTTCTATAATAAAAATCATTAGCCCATTACACTATTCCCACAGCTGGGACACGGGTTTCTTGAACGTACTATAATCTACCACGCTGGCCAAAAATTGCGGGTTTTTAGTGCGATACCCTTTCCCATCAGTGGATAGCACGTGTTAATATTTAGGTGCACGAGAATTAAACTCTCGACACTATGCTCATCTCACTACACCGGCATGGTAATAAAAATTGATTTTTTTGTCTTTTTCTGTCAAAATGCATAATTCATTTTAATATTTTATATGACTGTCCCTATCACAGACTAGACAAAAAAAGTAAAATAAAATATATCAAACTCTCAAACTCAGTAGGAATATACAATACAAAGAAATTCTTAAGTCATATTATAAATCGGCTTTCGCGATCATTTTTCATAGCTACTTAGGTTTTCGATTAGTCTATGGTCGTAATTGAGACTACCTCCAGTTTACTTTTCTACGATAGAGGACGGGCATGAGGTTTACTTGATGGGCGGTGAACCCAACCGCATACCATCCGACACGATGGGCTGCCGACCTATTTTGGCTTTAAATTTTAAATACTTACTCCACAGACTGAAACCGAGACGCGATTACTACGGTTTTGTCATCTGTGGCCTTCGGTTCGTGAAGACGTAATTTCCTAACCTCCCAATAATCCTAACACCCATTTATCGGAATGAAGAAATAATTACAAAAAACATTAAGTCCGGTGCGGATAGAGCCCACGACGTACATTATTAGGCAGACATTACAGCGACGAAGCCGTCAAAGCTTAGTCGACGTAGGCGCATCATGATGTCATCCACTAGTTTCTCAATTACGACGGTAGAGCCTCACGAAAACCCAAGAGTGTCTCTAATAAAATAAATCAATTTCATTTGTAATTCAGATCTGATAAATATAATTGCACCACTTTCACTGCTGTACCAAATACTATAGGTGACGTTACACGCTCAACTTGTGACGTCACCGAACAAGTAAATTACAGTTATTAAGTATTGTCTCTGGTGTACTCGCGAACACATGCATATAAAACACTTTTAACGGTTTAAACCCCGAAATATATCACTTAAATTATATCTATCGATGATCTGACGTTTCTATGGTCATGGGCGGGGACTAAAGATGGTAGATTCTAATATTAAAGCCAAATTAACGCTTGCTATATGTCGTACAAAATAAAACTGATATATTTCGCGATTTAAACCGTTAACAATATTAGGTTAGGGCGGGATTCCTCCTCTCCTCTGACTGTCACACATCGTCCCCTTCTTAAAGTGACATAATAGACTTATTTTAATACAGTTGTTTGTTGAACATAAATGCGCAAGCGCATCTTTTAGTAGGGATACTTCTAATATAATTGTACAGATAAAAAACAATGTCTACGTGATATGTACAATAATAAAACGTCTACCTTAATCTATAGTACAATAGTTGTTTAAAAATCTTTATACATTCACGGAAATGCCCTAAATTTTAGAACATTATTTATATTACAATTGTATTCGTTATTGCCTTTTTTAAATCTACCCTCACTTGAAAGTTGATCGTTAAATTCGATACTTAAAGAAAATATAAATGTAATGATCATTACAGTGTGTTGTACTTTTTTAAACATACATTTGTTAAAACAACTAGAACAGCCATCTCCTATAATTAATTATATTGATGTCAAATAAAAAAAAATGATTTTCGGTCAACTTGTAAAACAAACAAACTAAAATAGCAAAAAAAAATACTACATATTTGATTTAGTTTAACTTAGAAACTTGTATTTGACTAAAACGCTTTAACTGCTTAAAACACGAAATTTACCTTATAACTACTGGTGGCCACGGCTCCTAGAAAGCATTCGAAACGTGGGGTCGTAGTTAAAGATAAATTTATATATATCGCGATTTAAACCGTTAAATGTGTTTCATATGAATGTGTACTACTCGCGAAGCGTACAGAAATGGTTATAAAACAATTTTGAAGTCAGTGTTAGGTAAAAATAGGTAAAAATATAGCGTGTAATAATAGTAGTCACCCATTTAGATATTGTGTAATTGGTTTTAACTTTTAATAGTTTTAAAAGTAAAAGTTTAATCTTTTTAAAGTGATAGGAACATAACACATCGGTTTCTTGTTAAGTCCATAAGACAACACATAGTAAATAGTTAATTTGCCTGCCTAAAAAAATATTACAAGAAGGCTAAAGTATTTTAAGAATAAAATTGACCAACAGGAATCAAACCAACAACATCAGATGTGGGATGCATTACACGTGCAGTGTAATTTCGACCTTAACTCCGGAGGCATTAAGTTCAATGTCCCGCTATAAAAATTGATGTGAAAAATAATGATAATCATATTTCATTATTTCAGAACACAGTATTAATGGAAGCCTACTTTTTTTTACAAATTACAAACCGACTTGTACTCACGTACTTCAGCCCAGCTGTCACTTTACACTATTTACACACTAACACTAGTTTGCGGTTCGATTCCCGCCTCATTCAATCTGTTGCACTTGCATCACTGTACTGGAGGGGGGTAGGGCGATCTCGTATTTTATGAGACCTGGACCTCGTCCGGAGGTCACAACTAGACCGCCCACTTCTTTGACGTCGCTGAAACGAAATTAGGCTATTGGTAGCGTCAGCAGTTTAAATGAAATAGTTTGACGGATTAAAACCCGAAATATATCCCGATATAATATATAACTACGGCCCGATGTTTTGGTTGCTTTGGAGTAGAGAACTGAGATCACTGCTGTTGCAAAACATCCGTCATAAACCAACAAGCAACGTCGTGTCGCAGTTAAAAATATATTAACTGATATATTTCGCGTATTAAACCGCCAGTGTTTATTTTATATGTGTACTACACAGACAGTATTTACCTTCAACCTCTTTTACAATATAGATTACGCATGTAGATAAAGCATGTTTAATGTTTAAAACGCGAAATATATAAGTTAATATGATTTAACTGCGACCCGACGTTGCTTCTTAGTGTCGGGTCATATGATGACGTCGAGTCACAGGTTTACTGTGTTGACTAATATTATGCGTGTCCTACTTTTACCGTACTACTATACCAAATAGTGTCATATGAATCAAATAATACATCCCCCCTTTTTAGTCTAACTAAAATTTTATTTCAAAACATACCCTTCTCTCTTCGGTGTTATGTGGTGCAGGGCCTTCCCGTCCCTCGACACAATATGCAGCTGCGACGGAAGCAACCGCCTCCCACCCACTGTCCCCACCAGAATCTGGTTGCCGATCACCTGTCCCGATCTATTCGTCACCTGAAACAACGGCCCCTTCTCTTTGGATAAAAAGGATTATTAGCGAACTAAAATATGTACACGAAAATCTTAAATAATACTGCAAATGTTTTTTAAATAATAAGATGTGTTAAGGCTGTAAAAAAGTAGCGGTTATACGCGACGCGACATAGATTAGTTAACTTGTTGCAATTTATTTGGAGGACCAGAACTAGATGGCGCTAGCGTAGCAGATTGGACTTTGACATTAGAGAAACGCTCCAAATTCATTCCCCCCGTGACCGCCGCTACAGCATAGCATACAAAAAGTCGAGCCGCATTTAAAATAATTAATTCTAAATAAATTAACTATATAATTCGCTTTATAACCGTTAAAAGGGTTTTATTCAATGTGCACTATTCTCGTAGAGACAATACTTGTCCAACTTTACAAAACGCACACTTACCACTTGTATGTGAGCCGGTTGCTCCTCCAGCTCCATGGTCTGATGCTGCACATGTTGCGCAACTTGCTGCTGAACTTGCTGCGCGACCTGTTGCGCTGCTTGCTGGGCCGCCTGCTGTTGCGCTTGCTGCGACACTGGGGTCACTTGTGACTGTGTGAAAATATGAAATGATGGTAAGTTTGTTTGTCCTTATCTACCCACCCTAAAATAAAACACTAAGACATTATCTGTATAGTCAGCTTAGTTAGATGTTATATTAGCATAAAACACTTTAACGGCTTAAAACACGATATATTTTAGTTAAACTTTTTTGAGATTTTTTTTAACTACGGCCCCCCCGTACGGCTGCTGCATTCGAAACGTCGGGCTGTAGATAAGAAAAAAAATTAATAAGTGTAACTGATACATATCGCGTTTTAAACCGTTAAAGTGTTTTATATAAATGTGTACTACTCGCGTAAACTACGGACAGTGTTTTTGATGTTATCAAGTGCCCATGCTGGTCTACCTATATTTAAAAAAACTTATTTTTAAATAACATCATCTTATATCTCTATGTCCCGTAATACACTTACGCTTCTAGGGGGCAGGTCCATGTGTTGCCTCTGATGCAGCATCAGGTGGTTCTTCTGGAAGAACGCTTTGCCGCACGCGTCGCACACGTGCGACCGCAATGTGCAACTACCCTCCGGATGTCTGAAATTTATTTATTCACTTTTTAACTTGCGATATGTCACTGTAACGCTTTCCTGCAATTGACTTTGCTTACATCCCATACTTATGTAAATGTCAAACTAAAGTAAAATATATTGTCCATTTACGTCAATACATTGTTTTTAATTTATCATAAAATTGTGGTATTTAATTATTTAGTGTTTTAGTGTAAATGACTAATAATTTTATTTTATTTTTAATTTATTTTATTCTTTTACAAAAAACTTACGGCTACTACAAATGAAAATACAAACAGTAAATAGGTACAGGAAGGCCAATTACAAGTTTTTACGTGTAATATACAATTATTAAAACTAAAGACGACAGACACTTTTATTATTTTATCTTTTTCTTATACGTAGGTATATATTTACCACTTACATATACACTTACTTACATATAATGTAGGAGAAACGAGAAAAATTATCCATCCTTGTGTATTACCGTTGCGTACGCTGGGAAAACGGTTCAAGATACCCAAAAAATATCTAAGAAAGAATGATTCCTCTTTAAACGATCTAAAAAAATGTCCTCGACGCTGTATGTCTATCTTTTAAGATTAACTTGCAAGAACGACCCGATAGACGGTACACGGACGACGTGGTGGGTGACAGCTTAAATTTGAAGAGATGCTCCAAGTCAACTGTTTGCAAAAACGAATTTTGACACCTAAGATACCTGACAAAGCCTACAATATATATAGACAGTGAGATATGTCTGTAATTATAGCTTAGTTCAATAGACAGTTTAAATAAAAAAAAACTCCAATATCCAACCTCCTTTGATGCGCCAGCAAGCCGTGTTTCGCTGCAAAGCCCTTTCCACAGTCCACGCAAAAATGGATCTTCGGCCGAGGCGCTGCTACGTGGTGATTCTGAAAGATTCAGGTATTCATCAAAACCGAGTTAAAAACTAAACGGCTTAAAACGAATTTAGGATGCAAATGTGCGCGTTTAAAACCGTTAAATTCTTTTTTAAATAGAAATTTGTATTACTCGCGTAAACTACAGAAATAAAATTCAAGGCAAGGTCATTATTTTTACGCGAGTAGCATATGTGTAAATAAAACAGTTTAAAACGCGAAATATGTCAGTGAACATTCATTTTAACTGCAGCCTGAAGTTTCGGATGCTCCGCAGCAGCCGTGGCCGCGGGGACACATAAAAAAAATCCGAAACGTCAAGCCGTAGTAAAAACCGAATATATTGCGCGATTTAATCTGTTAAAAGTGTTTTATTTAAATTATAACAGTTGTTAGCTGCGAGTCCCTTCGCAGCTGTAGTCGCGGGTTTCAGCTGCTGCTGCAAAGCACTCCGTCGTTAAAAATAAGTATCATCACGTTTTAAACCGTTCAAAATGTCTAATTTAGTTCCCACATTGACATTTTTTTGTATTTCAATCACTCACCGTCGCTATGACTTGTGTGTGGACGACATTGCTCGGGTGATTCGACGAAATTATTTGTATGGGTTGATCTGCAATTATAAAAGAAACGTTTAAGATTTATTTAAACACAAAAGGACACGGGCGGGGACTCGAAGCCGCGACATCAACACAAACGTGACCACGGCTGATGGTGACACACCCCAGCCATATGACATCTAAACAAAATGCGCTGTCGACCTATTTTGGCTTTGCTCCTTCGGGAATTCGCAGACTGTAACCGTAACGCGATACTTCGCGGCTTTTTCATCTGTGGACATTGGTTCGCAACCTGGACGAAATTTAGATATTCCTATCACTCATTCATTATCCAGATTTCCAAACGACGTCCAACAAGTTTCAGAAAAATTATAATTCTATTGGAAACATTTTGTCAAACGAGTCGGCCTTTAAAGAGAAAAAAAAAACCTTTTTTACAATCTCCTTTCACATTAAAACTTAGCTCGAAATATACAAAGACATACTATGAGTGACTAGGCCAGGCTGCAGCGCCGCGGTGAGGGCGCATAGGTCGGTCACACACGTGCGATCGCCGGCGTGCAACCGAACGTGCAGCGAGAGCGCCTCCTATAATTATAATGTTCACATTATTTAATTAAAATAAATAAATAGTTATTTAGTTAACTAATTACAATCTGCAACACACTATTTGACTAATATAATTATTTTTTACAAGGGCGGGATTCAAACCCACCATACAACCGCAGCATTCAATATGTGAATAACTTCACGCAAGTATGTAAATAAATCACGTTTCAACGGTTTAAAACGCGAAAATCATTATATAACTTATCAACAATTTCCCCCGCGATCAAGGCCGCTACAAAGCGTCCGAAGCCGTAGTTTTTCCCTGTTTTAAACCGTTTAAAAGCGTTATATTTAAATTGACAAGCTCACGTGACACCCGAGCGGTATCCATTGAGACATATCTTCCAAGTTCTTGCAAAACGGCTAAGCAGTTCTTGAAAGCATTCACAGAAGACGCATAGACCCTACAGGCCCTACCTTGGTGTTGAAGCAACAGCCGCACTCCGGGCAAGCGTAGCCAGGTGTAGTTTTCTCGCTCAATATCTGTCCATCTGCACCAATTACCTGAAATAATAAGTTCACTTAAGTTCTTACAAGTCAAGTGTTTAATTAAACAACAATAATAAATATTATTTAATTTAACGGGAAAAGGGACAGAGAAGCAGGGGCGTGAAATACCCCAGGCGTAAGATGCGCTGCCGATCTATTTTGGCATTGGTTCTTTCAGACTGAAACTGAAATGCAGAACTCCACGGCTTTCTCATCTGTGGACGGCGGTTCCATTTTCAGACAAAGTCCAACATGTTTCAGAAAAATTATAGATTGATAAGACCCGGTCGGAATCGTATCCACTACCGGTTGATTAACAGCCGTACATTGCAACCACCAGACCAACTGTCTAGCTATCACTGTTCTTGACTCGGTAGCGTCCGTATTCCTAGGAACAGCGTGCCGTTGTTAAAATTTGGTTACGAATCTTAACAAAAAAACCGTAATTTAAATAGAACACTTTAACGGTTTAAAACGCAAAATATATTAGTTAAACTTATTTGAGAGTTATTTTAACTATGCAGCAAGGACTCGGCTAGTTTCTCAAATACCAACTGCGACAGAACAGGTGGCGCTAGCGTAGCAATTTTTACTTTGACGTCAGAGACACCCTCCATCTTTAGTCTCCCCGTGACCATACCAGTTAAAATAAATTGTAAATAAGTGTAACTACTATATATCGCGTTTTAAACCGTTAAAGTGGTCTGTAAATTCGAATGTTTAGTATTTGCGTTAAGAACAGACAGTATTTAATAAACAAAATTATAACTGATATACTCTAATAAAAATAAAAATACATAAACATACTTGTACTATTTGGGGTTTAAAATCATCCTGTTTGATAACAGTTTGATGTTGTTGCTGTTGCTGCTGCTGCTGCACTTGTTGTTGCGCCTGCTGCTGTGCCTGTTGTTGTGCCTGCTGTTGCGCCTGTTGCTGCACCTGCTGTTGAGCCTGTTGCTGTGCCTGCTGCTGCGCCTGTTGTTGCGCTTGCTGTTGCGCCTGTTGTTGCTGCACTTGCTGTTGTTGTTGCTGCTGCTGTTGTTGTTGTTGCTGATGTTGTTGTACGGACGATGATATACAGTGCCCAGTGATTTTGCAGTGCTGTTGCAAATCTGTCTTTGTCTTGAACGCTTCCCCACATTCGTAACACGCTACTGCATCCTCCCCAGTATGGATTCTGTAATTTAATGAATATTTTATTAATGCGAGTAGTACACATTATAATAAAAACCTTTTCAGCGGTTTAAAACGCGACATCTGTTGGTTAACTTATTTAAAGTAGAGCCCGACGATTTAGATGCTTAGCAGCGGCCGTGGTCACGGTAAAGCTAAAAAGGCTGTTTCGTACTTGTTTTTTTTTTAGAGAAACTACTCGGCTAGTTTCTCTAAATATAACACACGAAACGGGCTGGCCTTAAAGAAACGACAAAAATTGTAAAACAAACCAAAAACACACAAAAAATCAATTTTAAACAGGTTGAAATACGGATTATATTTAAGCGTATAAACTCAAATATACTTGTTTAAAATGTTATTTTATATATGGAATTTTAGACTTTAAAAAAACAGTAAAGTAAGTTAATATAAGTGGCCACTGAAACTTTGCAAACTGAACGAAACACGAAGCAATTTCGGCGAAGACATTTTCGCCTTTCACTTTAATTTTTCATTCATTTTATTACATTTTATTGAATTAACAAGCAAGAGTTCAAACTTCTGTGCCCGGCTCGACCGAAACAATTTCACGTTTCATATCTAAAACAAATACAGCCTTCTTGGAGAGCACCACTCACTTCAAATGTGCGACTAGCGTCCGTTTCTGAAGGAACTCCTTGCCGCAGACGGGACACGCGTGGGGCACCTTCCCGTGCACCCGGCCATGGTTCACCAGCTGGAACTTCCGCGCGAAGGCGGCACCGCATTCGGCGCAGACGAACGGAGACAGCGAACCGTGGAAACGGCTGTGCATAACTAGGTGCTCCTGAAAAATTAAGTTTAGTTAAGTTAGAAAAATTGAGTTTATGGTATAGGATAGAAAGGTATGGCGTTAACATAATGAAGGTGAAATATACGAGTCATATATTACATCCAAACAAGATGCGATTTGGACCTGTAGACTGAAATCAAAAGTGCCTACCGCGATTTCATAATTACAAGTTGTCAAGTGTCATCTGTCAATGACAGTTCGTCAAACGTTAATGCAACTATATCGATCATTGGCAAGTCACACATCTATAAGAGATTGTGAATTTTAAAATTTATATATAAACACTGATTTTTCTTGATGCCAGTGGTCAAAAAATAATAATATAGACACAACATTGGCAGAATCCATTTAGAATGAGAAAACGTACAGAAAAGTAAAGAAGAAGTAGATAAGGGGTTGTCCATTAATCACATGACCTTTTTTTAAAATTTTTAAACCCCCCTCCCCCCTTCTCGACATCACGTGTATTTTTAGTACCTACAAAAGAATCTTCAAATTTTCTGAATATTATCTTAATATAAATACAGGTATAAACTTTTTTTTTTATTTTTATTGGACTCTTACGTATTGTGTTCCTAAGGAGCCACGAATACTAACCGGGCGTTTTGGGCGAGCGCGATAGCGCTCGCCGTGTTTGCGGCTAGACCAAGGGTGCCCCGAGGGGGGCATCGGCCTCGGCTTGGACCGGGTGGGAGCTAGAAGAGCTGGACGGAAGCTCACCCGGGTGAGCGGTACGCGAAGCGAATGACCTCGCCTACGCCGGCGTAGGCGGTTTTGCGGGCGATCGGCACCGGTGTCGGCCGATCGCATAGCGATAAGGAAGTCGACGGCTTTGGTTAAGTCGTCATCGGGGTCGGTGAGAACGTTAGGTATAAACTATAATCTTATTTTATTCTGAAATTAAGGACCATAATAAAAATGTCTACACCATTTGTTTAAAAATCGCGTTTGACGAAAAAATAAATACACAAGATATCTTACTATACCCCCCTCCCCCCTTCTGTTATTTTCGTGATTTTTACCAAACCCCTCCCCCCCCCCTTTAAGCCTCACGTGATTAATGGACAACCCCTAAGTCACAAGTGCTACTTGACGTTTCCGCATATCTTTAAGAAGTAAACATATTATCCGTTAGATTTGTTGAATAGATGGCAGCACTGTAACACACATTTGTTTCTTAATATCTGTCAGTTCTTTTAGTCTTTAGATTGTGTTCACAAGACATGTTAAACTGTATTGGACTTTGATGGACAAGCAGACTGATTAAATTTATTTATTTATTTCAAAGAGGCTTACCAACTAAATACATAAAAAAAACAATATAATTTATGCGACTATTATGTATTAAATTTAATGGCAAGCACAACGTTGCAATGAAATTAGACATAGAATATATAAATCAAATCATTTAATTTTTTTTTTAATTTGGCTTTTAAATTTATGAGATTTGGAGAAAACATCTATTGTATTATCTATTTTAAATACACTATTATATTAATGCTTAATCTGTTGTATCGGACCCTAATTATGATTGCTATGCTTTGCATAATTGAAAAACCAAAAAACATCTGATGATAAATACCTTCTGTGCAAAGCTTTCCCCGCAGTCATTACAGACATACGGCCTCTCCCCTGCGTGGTACTTGCTGTGGGTCACCAGGTGTCGCTTTAGCGGGAATCCCCGACCACACTCTCCGCAGACAAACGGTCGGGCGCGGCTGTGTACCTGAAATAATATCATTTCTTTACTAAACACTTTTGCCCTCCAACCGTTTAATGTCCCACTGCTGGGCATAGGTCTCCTGCCTTATAGGAAACTAAGAGCTCAAAACCATTTAAATATATAAATCTGTATTATTTTCTAATTATTATGAATGTATAACAAAAAATTATTTAAACATAGTCTGGCTTAATCTCCAGTATTGCAATAGCTAGAGAGAGTCAATATGTTTTTCCTCGAGCCTCTCTCACACTTGGCCAGTTTTTAACATAAAGTGTTGAAGAAGACACAGTGACATTTAGATAACCCAAATCCTTTGCAAGGAGGAAATAGGTGAAACAGTCAGATGGTGGTGTGGGTTAATCACCTGGCCTTCTATAGATGTCACTGATAGAAAATCATAATAATAACATTAAGAGTGGAGGAATATCCTTAGAATCCTCCCAAGAAATCTATTGAATTAAAAGATTTTAGGACAGTGTCGAGACTTGAACTGGCATCCTCAGAGTTCTGTGCTGTTCTAACCAATTGAGCTACTGTCAAATGTAATTTCAACCTTTTTAAGACGCCATGGATGGAGCCCCGGTCTATGTTAATAATTTTTACTTATATAACTCCTTCATGTGCTTAGAATACTACTACGACGAACTAGTCCTTAAGAATTGCTCACTCACCCTCGAATGTGTAACAAGATGATGTTTCAGCGTAAACGCCATTTTGCACTCGTGACACCTGTACGGCCTGTCTGCCGAGTGCAGCAGCAAGTGGGTGTTCAGGCAGTGCTTCCGAGCGAAGGCTTTGCCGCAGTGTCCGCAAATGTGGGGCCTTTCACCTTGAACATAGAGTGCTTATTAGTATATCAGTAATACTATCTACTATACCAATATTTTAAAGCTAACGAGTTTGTCTAAAACTAACCTCAGGCTCTTCGTGTTGGTTTGAACATCAAGAAAGCTTTAGGTTATAAAATATCAGGCTGAGACGAAAAAGAGCAAAGAAATAAGGATGAAATGGGGAAAATTATTTATCTTTGTCTCCCACGGAAAAATAAGTTGCCATTGTGTGTGCTGAGAAAACATACATACAATACAAAACTATGAATAAAATTTATTTCCATATCAAATAATCTAAAAGAATGTGAATTAAATTACTAGATCCATTTGTATAGTAATACAATTTTGGTCGAAATACTTCAAAGGACAAAAGAATTTTTGCCTGGTCAACTAGTAACATATATACATATACAGACCTCTCATGTTATATATATACATATAACATGAGAGGTCTGGGATTCAAATCTGATAAACCAAAAATATGGTTTAGACTCGTTAGGACACCTATTTCATATGTCTATAAATTTTTGTAAAAATAAGTTTTGTCACAGAGATACCACATCTCAGTAAAGATACACCAATCAATCAACAACCCCCACCAATGTCTGGCCTATGGCCCAGTGACACGTATCTTACTTCATCTGTATGTCAGCTTGATACTAAATCATATGAAATTCAAGCTGTTTTCCTTACAACAGTCAAAAGTATTCAATACTTACCAGTATGTACTTTCGCATGTGTCGTGAGATGGTGTTTGAGTAGGAACGATTTGCCACACTCATCACACGAATACGGTCTCTCCTTGATCGGTTGTGATGGAGTCTGCATCTGCAGTGTGTTGTTCATAATCTCCGTCTGTGAAAACACCATCTAACATTCGCTTACTATACAATATCCAAAACTAAAGCATCTTGTAAAAGAAGCAAAACAAACATTTAATTATTATTATTGACTACAGACATACAAACAATTAATAAGTATACAATAAATGCATTATTTTAGTTAAAAATCAAAATTGAAATGAAATTACATTAGGTCAAAAAAATTTGAAGATGATGTTTAGGACACGGTAGCTTGAATGGTTAGAGCAGCAGCCCAAAACGCTGTGGATGCATACTGGTTTAAATCCCGTAGGTGTTGACAATTTTTTTTTTAATGTCAATACATTTTAAATTGCCCATACCCATAACAAATATTAAAGTTTTCAAATGTATTATATTTAAAATGCATTCAAAGCAAATCTGGTTGTATTTGCCCACAAATCTATTTATGACAACGTAATTATTTAAAAGGCTGAATTAGTGTTTTTTTAATGGGTACAATTACATAGACAAACGTTAAAACTGTAATTTATAGCAAAATAACAAGTACAGTAGAGTCTCAGTAATCTGGCATTTTAATAGACAGACACTTCCGATAATCTCGGTCACCATGGGGTTTTCTTAGTCTAATTATTGTCATAAATTAAAAAAACTTATCAAGTAGATGTGTCCCCCCGTTACCATGGCTGCTGCAAAGAATCCGAAACGTCGGGCCGTAGTTAAAAATAATTTACAAACAAGTTTAACCAAAATATAACGCGTTTTAAACCGTTAAAGTGTTTTATTTGAATGTGTACTACTCGCGTAAACTACAGACAGTGTTTACTTCATTTTATGTAATTATTATAATATCTTTCTATAAAATGTGGCAATCTGAACATTCCAATAAACGAAAACTCTCTGGACTGCCAAGTTAGTGAGACACTACCCGAGTATTAAAACAAGATGCTTACTTTAGGTGAATTATTAGTTGTTCCAGGCTCTTGTTTCGTATGTAATAACTGGATTTGCTGATGCACGGATGTCTGTAAAGGATCCGGTTGGGGCTGCTGTGTTGTGACATCAGTTAACGCTTTTATACTGCCGTTCAACAGTGATTGGCTTAGTTGTGAAGTGTCGATAACAGGCGTTGCGATACCTTGAGCCTGCAAAGCTCTTTTCATTAAGATTTCGTTGCATTCTTCGGCTGTCAACTGTATTTGTCCGATTGGTGTCATGAAAGCCTTTGATACTAAAGTTGCACCTGCAAATGTATAAGATGAATTTCTCAAATTTTTATTATTTCTAAACACCTACAGTGTAAGAAAATAATTCAACTTTAATTGAAGTACAAAAAATAAATGAATGAAGTAAACTAGTATTTAACAGTTAAATTTTAGTAACTTTTCAACTTAAGACTGTCAAGGTCTCTCTCATATGTGGTCACATTTAAAACTATAATATTTTGCTCTGTAGAGAATTGGGTGAACACAATTCATTGTTGTTTTACTAATAGATTTTATTCACATCTGTGATAGTTAATATTCTGCCCTGCCTGTAGGCCTAATAAATTATTTTTTGTCCAGGATTCCAACCCAGGACTTCTCATTCTTAACACAACACAGTAAATCAAGCTACAGAGGGCATAGTGTAAACAAAAACAAAGCTGTTTAAATAAAATACTTTAATGGTTTAAATCTATGCTTGTATCCGAAACTTCAACCGTAATGTATATTACAATCTAAACCGTTAAAGTTTTATTTAAATGTGTACTACTTGCGTAAACTACAGACAATATTTAAACACAAGCTGGTTAAAAGGTGTTAATAAAACAAAGATCCTTACACTCACTCTGGGTCGTCGCAGTCTGATTTTGCTGTGACACCCTGCTCAATGTATGAGTCGGTTCGTTTAAAACAAACATTGCATTCCTCCGACCTGCACCTGGAGTCCCCGTAGTAACAACCCTAGTTAACTGTGCCCCTGCATTTGACGCTACGACTGTGCCAATTTTTTCTTGAACCTGCGGTGTCTTGTGGGACATAACAGTCAGTGTGGTTTCAGGTGACACCTAGAATACAATTTAAACATGAAAGGTTCACCTTCTTTTAAATAAAGGATGACAGTCAAGTTTGGCGTTCATATGATCAATTTAATCTATATGAGATGTGATAATTGTGTCAACTATTTACCATAAGATTAACTTATTTTAAGATGACGAAAGTTTTAGACGATATCAACAAATTGAACCATTGAAAACACTATACTAGTATAAGATAGATAGAGATATACCAACGTCCTAGTATGTTAAAATTTTCTAATTGGACAATGTTTTGTTTACAAGATTTAATTGGAACATATTGCAGTGTCTAGTTTATTATTTATAATATATACACCACACATAGCCATAGCTACTTACTGTATTCCCTAAGGTGTAACTCAAACTACTCGGCGTATCGACATCGCCTTTTGTGAGGTCAGCGGAACTAGTAAAACCCCACGAATATGCGAAACCGGACACATTTGTTGGCGTTGGCATACACATTTTAGTAATTTGCAATAACTTTACCGCAACTAAATATAAACAAACAAACACAAGTTCACTTTACACTAGTATACAGTGGTGTCATGACAGCTTAGCCATTATAAATTCATGTACGCTTTCACCACCACAAGCACACAAACGCAATACACCCGTCAATGGGACCGCCGAAATTAACAAAAGATGATTCGTGTTCTAATAATACCAATAGAACATTAATTTATCCACGTACAGACAATCCTTTGTCTTATAAACGCCAATTAAACCATATAAATCTAAATAAAGGCGGTACGAGACGCTATGTACTGTATCGACACGCTCCTAAAATATGTAAAAATTCATAACGATCGGTTAAATAAGTTCGAATAACACTTCATTTTATTACTTGGTGTCATAAATTAGTGCAAAACCGGCAATTTATCATTGGTAATATCGCTTTCACGAATACAATTACATTATCGCACACACAAGAAATCCGGGCGCCATTTTAATATCTATGGACAATATTTTTTTTATTGTGTAATCGCAAAGGTCAAAATTGCAATGTCTATGATTTATTTTTGGCGATTCACAGTTTTCAATTAAGCGTAAATCCTATAATAGCCATACAAATTCTTTTAAACAGCAAAAGGCATGTTATTAACATATTTTTATTTATTATATTTTATATTTTGACATTTATGTTTCATAAAAATGCAGCTGTAGTTGTTGGTAGTATCTATTATGTTCTGTCATTACATCGCTATAGGTATTCCTTAATGCTTCACGGTGTCATGTGTAGTTAGATGTCACTGTGTCACCGGAGAATTTATTTTCGTATAAAATTCATTGTTTTATTTCTCAAAATATTTCCAATATAAGTGCTCATCTAGTAAGCTATACAGCAGGTTTATAAAGAAAGAAAGTCGTAAGAATTATTACTATACTCATTGAGCTAATCCTTAAAGTAGTGTAAATTCCCTTCAAAATGAATCCTATGTCCATGGACAGAGACGAACCGTCGTCTCTTTTATCCGTAGCAACAAATAACTCGTTAGAGCAATTTGTCTTATTAGCGAAGAGTGCAAAAGGTTCAGCATGTGCCGAACTGATCAAGCAAGTGCTGGAGGCACCTGGAGTTCATGTGTTTGGAGAACTGTTGGAAATGCCGAATGTCAAAGAGGTTACATATCGTTCAAATTTAAATTTATTGCTTTGTTAGTGTTTTTTCCTATAAGCATTAAGTGTAACATTTTTACACTGTTATTTTCTGATTACAGCTTCAAAGTGGACCCTACGAAAAACACTTCCAGACACTCAACCTCTTTGCATATGGCATGTATAAAGACTACTTGGAAAATAAGTCCAATTATCTAGAATTAACACCAGCTCAATGTAAAAAATTGCAACATTTAACAATTGCTACACTGGCGACACAGGAAAAATGTATTCCATATAATGTATTGCTTAAGGAATTAGATATTAAGAATGTTAGAGATCTAGAGGATTTGATAATAGAAGCAATTTATGCAGGTAAGGTATCACAACCTACACGAATATTGTAAAATTGAAAGAACTACTAAAAAACAATGTTTTCCTAATACAATTTCTCCTAAGCAATTTTAAAACTAAAACAGGTGCACCTATAGAATTGTCAATTGTTGCTGGTTAATTACAATACGGCCCAGCTTGTTGAACATTCTAGAAATTGAATGGATATTAGGAAAAATTATATTTCATCTGGGTCGCAAAAAGCCGTAGAATTGGTACTTTTTCAGTTTAGATTCAAAGTCCTATGCCAACATAGATTGATAATACATATTTATTACGGCAAAGTTGTTCATCTTCCATAAAGTGAATTTCATGCTTTGCCCTCCATAGTAAAAAATATTTGTTGCAATTAATTATTAAAGTAAAAATGACTTCTTCTATACTTCCAGATATCATCCATGGTAAATTAGACCAAGAATGCAAAAGAGTAGAAGTCGATGTTGCTTTAGGTCGTGATGCCCGATTGGAAGATGCTGCTGACATCGCTGATGTTCTTGCCAGTTGGTGCAACGCTTGTGAGGCAGTGCTTATATCTGTGGACCGTCATATTGTAAGGGCTAATAATCACAAGCAACGGGCGATAAGACACCAACAAGGCATTGATCAAGAGGTATTTTTTATTTCTACAAATGCCGTAAAACTTAGTAATACTATCTCACGGTGTCCATATTAGTGGAAAATACTATTTAACATTCGCTCCAGAAAGACCGGCTTTATATTCTTTGTTTTAAAGTGTAACAAAGTTTAATTTAAATGTACTTCTATAAACTACAGATAATACTTTTAAATATTACATAAAAGTATATTGTGAGAGCGCTTAAATTAAAATTTTCATAGTCTAAAAATGTTATTCACCAAAAGCACAGTGACCGAAAATTTTAAACGAAACGAAAACATAATTTTTTCATAAATAATAGTTGAATTAATTATCACCTAAGTAATCGTTAAAGTCGCATTTTTATTTTCCTTCTTATTGAAACCATGTATTTTGTTAATAGGCCACTCTGCCTCTAGCAGCTCTATATATAAGTAGACACTTATATATAAAATGAAATCGACGATAAATACAACACTTAACGGTTTAAAACGAGAAAATATATGAATTTATTTATTTTGACTGCAAATTGATCTAAATTAACTAGCTTAGCTATTATGTTTGTAAAACCGGTAGATATGTTTTATTTCAATGTGTATTATTTGCTTAAACTACAATGTATAATGTTAATGATTCGTAATATCATTCACAGATTATGTACATAAAGAAAACATTGAAAACGCAAGCAGAGAATGATGAGTCGGCTCCAGGCGGGGGCAGCGAGTCCCATTCGGCACCAAAGAAGAATTCGGGGAAGGGGAAAACACCAAGAAATTCAGCAAAATTTTGGCAAAAGACAACATAACATTTTTAAACTGTACATACAGAATAATTGTCATATTGTAATTTAATAAAAAAAAAACCTTTTGGCTTCTTGTTATTTTTTTTGTCTCTTGCAGTTCTAGGATTTACTACAAAACATGTATATGCTTTCTTTCTAAATGAAAAAATAAAAATATTTTTAAAAAGGTCTTATATCATTTTTGAGAAATCTACGTCAAACAGTCCTAATAATAACTAGGTCGACTAAATCGAAGTTACTAAACAGCATCGCATGTCTGAACATGTATTCAATTCAAACACTTAATGGAGTAAAACGCGAAATGTATTAATTAAGTTTACTAATAATTTTAATCGCCTCACGTTTCATGTATTTTTTGTTTTGCATTAAAATTGGCGATTTATCATCTAAGCATCTAGCAACATAAAGCCAATACTGTCAACAGCTAGACAAGGACGCAGCATGAATTGCACCCGCCGATCTAGGCTAGCGACAAGGACAAAAACTAATACGAATCAAAACACTCTCGAACGAATTCGCTTTCATGCCACGGCCGTTCAGAGTACGTCTGTTTTGACGCAGGAGCGCAATCTAAATGCGCAAGCCGTTTGAGGCTTACAAACGTTCGCAGGACACTGAAAAAGTGATGATAACACGCAAAAGCCTTGTAAACAAAGTATTCATTTACTAAAACGATATTTACACACGAGCCGTCGCGTTCGCTAGTGAAATTCCAGTGTTGTTGACTTCAAAATGTATCCGTGATAACAAGACAAAGACGACTGCGTATAGACATTCACTTCACGATTTTATTATACCAGTGTTTTGTATTGGATGAACTTAAAGGCAAGTATGCCCTCTACTAGTTCACCTAAATCCATTAACCGTAGCCATTAAGAGTTGTCGAAATTCACAACGCATTTCCATTAGATACATACAATAATATAACACAATTACGTGGGAACGAGAAATCAATAACAAAAACAAAGTAATGAAAAATGTTGTCTTCTATTTGAACACCTGTGATCTCAAACCTAAGGCCATCTTGTGGTCGTCCTAAAAATCGCCTTACCTAACCCAATATTGCAATAATGCGCAATTATCGTTTACGCCTGTTAGTATTAATTTTGCTTTGTTGTCAACGTGTGGTAAATCAGCTGTTTTGGGCGAAGGGAGCGCGGGGAAGGATGGAACCGGTTTGTCTACTCTGACTCCTTCCGAGTTGTCTGTACCACTACTTTGTAGACAGGTTATTATGCGACGTTGCAAGTGCAACAATCAGCACACTTGATGTATGTACACATTATGCATACTGAGATATTTTTCAAGCATTGTTGCATACTAGAATTAACTTGGTTTTATGACGTTTGGATGTATGGAGAATAGTAACGTGTCCACCAATGTTTAAAAAACGAATTTATATTTTTTCTGGAAAATCTGGCCATTAAAGTTAGGTAGGTATATGAGAATTCCAAAGGTCGAAGGCGCATCGTGTTAAAGTCCTAGGTATATATGTATATAGGTATATCACATTCCACAGATTTATATAGTTGAGTATATATAAAAATATATATATAATTTGTACGCGTAAGTAGGTACACTTATGAACGTCAAACCAGTTAAAAACTAAAGACCTAAAACATTTACTACAGTTCAAATAAAGGGAGGTGGAAGAGTTGGTAAGAAACTCGCCGCCACTCCATTTATCGCTAAGATTTATTTTAAAGTCTTACGTGCAGTAAGCACTCTACATACCGTCCAATATTTTCTTGTTAGAGCTGGTTCGTTCAACCCCCGAGCATTTTTATGGCATAAATATTGATTGACCGTGCATAAAATTATCTGATAGAAGCTTAGTTTACATAAGCTTCGCATGAATTGGCTGTTGTCCACAAGGAATCTTACTATCATTAATCTATACTAATATATAAAGCTGAAGAGTTTGTGTGTTTGTCTGAACCCGATAATCTCAGGCACTACTGGTTCAGGTGTTAGAGAATTTATCCAGATGACGCGCTGTGACTAATAAAAACAAAGGTAAAGTGGGGAAAATCCTTCATATCTGTGGGTTCCCGATGCGTACGCTGAGCAAACGGTTCAAAAAACCAAAACAATATGTATGGAAGGATCATTCCGATTTAAATGATGATCTAAAACAGTCCGCGACGCTATATGTCTATCTTTTGAGATTAACTTGCAAGAACGACCCGAACGATGGGATACGCATGCCGTGGGTAAGAACTGTACTGAGGAGGAAGTTCGCAAAAACAAATTTTGACGCCCGAAATAACTATTCTATGCGGACGAAGTCGTTGGCGCAGCTAGTCGCAATATACAAATGATATATCTATGCCAATAATAAAGCAGAAGTTTGTTTGAACGCGACAATTTCAGGTCCGAATTGAACAAGTATTTTTGTATTGTATAGACGGTATCGAAAGGTTTAAGGCTATAAAACATCACTCTGCGACCAGTAGTAACAAAGGAACAGTAGGAAATATGGAAAAGCGGGGAAAATTACTCGTGTTTGTCAAAGGCGAATGGCCAAAATAACTATTCTACGAGGACCAAGTCGCGGCCATAGCTATATGAAATTAAACTATGTTAGCGGTTAAAAACGCGAAATATATGAATTTATTAACACTGCTCCCTGGTGTTTTAATTATTTATTGATTTTATTGCACTAACAAGTAGGTAACACCAACAGGTATTATACAGTGTGAGAATTATACGCAAAGCTATTAACGTTGTTTAACTAACCGGGTTAGTTGGGACTGCAAGAGAATGCATTCTGTGTTCACAGGTATTAGGGGCAAAGCGTTCTACATATATTTTTTACTAGCTGGTGCTCGCGACTTCGTCTACGCAGGAGTAGTATTTGGAGTAGGTAGCTTATATTAGCGTGGCGTAGAAAAGAATTAACATTTTGACATAAATATTTTTTGAGTCGCTTTGAAAAATATAACTGCTTGACAATATTTTAACAAAAGAAGGTTTTTTCCTAGTTACTTGACACTTAATGTCATATTTTGGACAGCTCACACAATATCTTTATAAATTGTAGGCTATGTGTTATTCTGTTGTATAAGCTATATTATTGGAAAGTTTAATTAAAATCCATTCGGTAGTTTTTGCGTGAAAGAGTAACAAACATCCATCCACAAATACAAATTTCACGTTTATACTATTAGCTGGATGATATATATACTGTCTATGATGAGGTGAGCCCTGGCCTAGAGCTAGATTTGGCATAGGATAATCCACAACTGAAATCGAAACGCGATAGCTACAGTTTTTCATGAGAGGTTCGTGATGCACGGAGTTTCGATAGCCTAGCCCATTTTTCCAGATTTCCTGACGAGTCCAGCATGTTTCAGAAAAATTGGACATGTGGCCCAGTGGGGATAACCCACGGCCATGATGCATACATAGATTGACCAAGCTATAATCTGTTCATATCTATACTAATATATAAAGCTTGAAAATGATTTTTTGTTTATTTAACGCGCTATCTCATGAACTACTGTATCGTACGGTTACGAATGAAAATATCGTGTTGTTTAGATATTATAGGATATCGCGTTTTAAAAACCTGTCGGTACGCTGCAAAATAGTTCTACCCAAAAAATACGTATTTAAAATGTCCCTTATACTAACTCGCGTAACTATAGACAGTAATTCGAGGTTTGACGATTGAGCCCAAAATTAACTATTCTACGTGGGCAAAGTCGCTGACACAGCTAGTATTTGCATATAAGAAGTATTAGTCAAGTACATCATATGATGAAACCTTATGACATATTTGTAGGCTAGAATAAACGCAAAGTGACTGATTATAAGGGCTTAACTTGTGCCGAGAGGTCAGTCAAAATGCACTAAACACACTACCATATAATACTAGCGGTCCGCCCCGGCTTCGCTCGGGTGCAATGATGATACTAGATACACTACAGAAAACCTATGAACGTTGTATACGAAACCTTCCTCTTGAATCACTTTATCTATTGAAAAAATCGCATCAAAATCTGTTGCGTAGTTTTAAAGATTTAAGCCGTACATAGGGACAGAAAGAGCGAATTTTTTTAGACTATTGAATTGTGACTAGACAATTGATTTAAATAAAAAACTATAACAGTTCAAACCGCGATATATATTAGTAAAATTATTTGAAAAATATTTTAACTACGGACGTATCGGATTTTGCAAAGGCCGTGGTCACGGGGAGATCCGTGAGGTGAGTGTACCTAATATACTTATATTAGAACCGTTTAAAGTTTTTTTTATTTTAAACTATGGTGTGAGTAATGGCCAATATGACGGGCCGTTAGTCGTTCTGCAAGGACCTAGGAGTTTCGCCAAATACCAACTTCGACGGAACGGATGGCGCTAGCGTAGCAAATTTTATTTTGACGTCAGAGATCCATCCATCATTAGTCTCCCCGTGACCACGTCGGGCAGAAATTAAAAATAATTTTCCAATAAGATAACTAATATATATCGCGTTTTGAACAGTTAAACTGTTTTATTCAAATGTGTACTACTCGCGTAAACTACAGACAGTATTTAAACACTGTCGCGGAAATTTTTTAGGCTTTTAAAGAAGGTTCATTCTTATAAACATATTTTTATCTTGAACTGTTTTCGCAGCGTACAATTTCGCACCGTTTCCTCGTTCATTTTAGTCACTGCGTTACATAGCCTTCCTCGATAAATGTTGTAACTAATAACGAAAATTTTCTTTAATTCGGACCAATATTTCCTGAGATTAGCGCATTAATACAAACAAACAAACTCTTCACCTTTATATTATAGTAGCATAGATAAAATAATACTCTGGCCGTGTAAAAAAAGTATTAAATTGTCTATGCATTCACGCTGTGAATATCTATTCTGTGGTTATCTTTTAAATTCAATACAGTACAAGCAAGTCTTTGAGCCCGCTCACATTTCTTAGTCCTATTGTTTGTCTGTGGGCACCAGCTGATGTTATTATTTACACAGGGCAACAAACTTTTGTCGCTGCG